TTGTTATGCACGAGCGCCCAGCGATCATACTCGTATTGTTTATGGGCATTGCATAATCACGTACATGTGTCTAAATATAGATAGATAGCAACAGAGATATTACGGTCATTAAATTCGTTGGTCACTTAAAATAGCTTGTGTGAAAAAAGTATATTTACACATTTAAACACAGATTCATACCCTCGCTAAAGTATATATGTGTGTATGTATGAGATCCATTCTCATGCCATAACTTCCCCATACATAGAACATAGTTTACTCATCGGAAAATTATGGACCTATCATATAAACACCGTTACCGATATTGTTTTAACTAATATATGTACATACATGACTGTAAGTATGTTTTGACCGATAGTTTGTAGTTTCAATGAACGCTTATTTGCCGATAAGACTGTTGTGCTCTGTGCAAGTTTTTACAATTATGCTTTTTCGCCAAGATAAAATAATAGTTAATATATGCGGAAATATATACTATACATTAAATAATTTATACTTGTTAATGGTGGCTTATGGCATAATTCTGATTAATGACTACTGAATATAGTGAAATTTATTTGCTTGCATTCCATGGTGTCGACATTAACTACAAGTGTGAAATAGTTTATTTCAATAACGAGAGTTTTTTTTTTTTAATTTTAAGAATAAAATATATAGTTATTGTAACATATATTATATCTTGTTTTCAGTAATCGAAAGAATGTATTGAAGACACACATAGACGTATGAATGTCTGCAGCTAGACATTTTTTATATTGGTAGTTCGACCATTTCGCTCATCGAGCCGCTGCTGATCTGCAAGACAGTGTATCCAAAATCCTCCAAATCTAAACTTTTTAACTCAGTTGAAACCTTCTCACTGGCTCTCTTATTAGTATGAGCTTCGACTTTAACTCTGTCGGTGCAAGAGCATAACATCTAATCAAATATTACGCTTTCTGTCAAGAAATTAGATTTTTCTCTTTCGGAAACAAAAACCGGGAGCCAAATCTGACGAATTCGTTGGCTGAGAGAGTACTCTCGCCTCGTGTTTGGTCAAATAGTCAGACATAATCATCAGTGCCGGATAAAACTAGCGCGCGGCCTGTAGTAAATTCTGTCAAGGGTCCCTTGGTTTGCTATAGGTTCTCAAGTACTATAAACTGTATAAAACAAAATTGTTGCAAGTAAACTTTTATGGATTTATTATAGGTAAATTTAGAGATAATATATTCAATAAAGTGAGATGAGATCGCATTATTTGCCCATCGTGTTCCTTAATTCATTTGTGATACGTTTTAATGTTGAAAAAGAACGTTCGCCACTGCAGTTAGTGATCATGAGAGATAAGTAAATTCGCAAAGCAATTTCTAAGTTTGGGAAACACGATTCTAAAGAATTATTAAATAAAAGTTTATTAATATTGCTGTTCCAGAGGCTCCTGTTTCTTGCTGTCAATAACAGTAGCCACATCTGTTTTCAGCAGCTCTGCGAACTGCACTAACTCGCCGCCTAGGCTGTTCTCCAAATCATCTTCGTAAGTACTGACCATACCGGAGGATTTTTCCAAAATCTCAGATTTTAGCTATCGAAATACCTCAAAAACACAAGTAATTTTATGATATGCTTTCATTCGTTTAGTTAAGCAGATAGTAATCAATAATGTCAATAATGACAATAAACATCTCAAATTCGTAACGTTATTCAGGTGTCAAAGTCGTCGAAATGATCGTACTTCGTACTTCGCTGTTACTGATATTCTTTATAGTAGGTCAGATCTTTGACTCTTGCCTCAATAGCTGAAAAAGTGGATCGCATTGCTTGGACGTAGCCATATAATGATTCATAAAGGGCGCATCCCTTTATTAAGGTCTTGATCAGACGATCAAGGCGAAGCACTAGTCGCTTGCAAGCGTTCTAGGACTTCGTTCCACGTAATTGTCATTATTCCCGTTTCTAACTTATTCATCGCTGAAAAGAGTCCGTAAGCTTTATTACGACACTCCGCTTTTTGATCCACGTTATCGAAAATGTCTTTCAATACTTGCTTAATATTGATGAAACCACATCAAAGTGCCTTCGTAGCATCAGCTCGGGCTGACTACCTAGTGTCCGATAACCGTTCAAAATCAGAATTTTTGAATTAGAATCTTTAAGTGCGTTCGTAAGACGACCCCATCGATAGATAGAAGCGGAAAAAATGTATAGAGGTTTTCAATGAAATCGAAGAAAAGTAATGCTTCTGTACAGCAGTCTGCAGCGCACTTAGCAACCAAGTTTAATAAGTGTGCAAGACAGGGACTGTACTCTGCATACTTATTAATTTTTTTAATTCGGGCTTCTTGTTTGCTTGTTCGATATATATTTCACTCATGCTGCTGGCATTATAATAGCTTTGCCCACGACAATCTTTAATATTAATGCCACTCTCACTCAAGAAAGAGTAGAACGCTTGAAGAGTAGAAATGTATCTAGTATAGATACTAGTCTAAATATATCGATTATAATATTAGGTTGTCAAAAAGTCTTGCGGTATTTTTTATTGAATTTTGAATTGTTCATAAAAAAAAAAAAATAATAAAACTCATGCCCAGCTCTTGACCGATGCTACGGCTGCTACTATGCCGGTCTCTTTCGACCAATTCAGCGATTTTATCGCAATCTTCGACGACAGGCCTTCCGGCGCATCTTCGACCACCTCTACACCAGAACGAAAACGTTGAAACCATCGCTGTGCGGTGGAAATGGAAACTGTATCGGGTCCATAAACTGCACAAATTTTATTGGCGGCTTGAGATGTATTTTTGCTTTTATCGTGGTAGTACTGTAAAATATGCCGTATTTTCTCTTTATTTTGCTCCACGTTTGCGACAATCAATCAAACAGGTGTTAGGGCGCGAAATGAGCCTTCCAAAAAGGTATAGCATGACCCGATGCGACGAATAAAACTAGAACTACTGCCTCTCAGCGCCAACTAGCGAAAATACCGCAATACTTTTTTGACAACCTAAAACATTAGAACATTAAAGTTAAGAAATTTGTAAAATGCCTACTTCTTTTTACGATTTAACGTGACGAAATCGAGTTTTAGATTCTCAGGTGGAAGGTGGAAGTGAAGCATAGCCTAAGCGCTTCGCATTTAAAGCATGCAAGGATATTTTACGCTCCATCTAAATTGATTTTTTTTTAGTTACGGTCAGTTTTAGCGCAGGGCCCCTCAATTCGCGGGACCCGTAGCATTTGCTACTCTTGCTACGTGACTGATTCGGCACTGATAATCATGCGAAAATATGGCAGCGCTTTATTGCAGGCCATGAAGGGCAAATATGGTTCCCACAAATCCGGACGCCGATGACGGATTACTTCACGTTAACGCATTAAAATGCCTAAGTAGTATACTTATTGATTGTTTGACTCTAGGGAACAGATTTATGGTGAACCATACCACAGCAATTAATAATAAGTAAGGAAGGGCTAAGTTCGGGTATCCCCGAACATTTTATACCCTCGCATGATAAAGTGATAATCGAGATTTCAGGCGTGGTTGTGAACCGATTAACGACCGATTAACCGGCGACGCCACGCCCACTTTCAATTTTTAAAAAAAGCCTGGATGCAGCTTCCTTCTGAAATTTCTTCCGTAAAATTTAGTGTTTTTGACGTTTTTTGTTAGTCGGTTAACGCACTTTTAGTGATTTTAAATATAACCTTTATATGGGAGGTGGGCGTGGTAATTATCCGATTTCTTCCATTTTTGAACTTTGTATGGAAATGCCTGAATTAAACAACTCTGTAGAGTTTGGTTGACATAGCTATAGTAGTTTTTGAGATGTGTACAAAAAAGTTAGTAGGGGGCGGGGCCACTTTTCCAAAAAAATTACGTCCAAATATGCCCCTCCCTAATGTGATCCTTTGTACCAAATTTCATTTTAATATCCTTATTTATGGCTTAGTTATGACACTTTATACGTTTTCGGTTTCCGCCATTTTGTGGGCGTGGCAGTGGGCCAATTTTGCCCATCTTCGAACTTAACCTTCTTATGGAGCCAAGAAATAAGTGTACCAAGTTTCATCATGATATCTCAATTTTTCTTCAAGTTACAGCTTGAACGGGCGGACGGACAGACGGACAGACATCCGGATTTCAACTCTACTCGTCATCCTGATCACTTGGTATATATAACCCTATATCTGACTCTTTTAGTTTTAGGACTTACAAACAACCGTTATGTGTACAAAACTATAATACTCTGTTTAGCAACTTTGTTGCGAGAGTATAAAAATGATGAGCATCGATTTGTTTTTGTCCGCCTTTAACGTGTTTTCTGGGATACCACCAGCAATTGAGCGTCTGAAGAATGTGGGGTCCTCAAGCATCTCTTTACCGACCTCTATTCGACGTCGTTTTTGCAGAAGCTCCAAGTCTTTTGGTACGGTTCTAGCATTGCCACGTTTGATATTCAAAATATTGGTCAAAATGTCTTGAGTCGATCCATAATTTGTATATCCAAGATTTTATGATCCTCTGCTATCTCTCTGATAACAACGCGATGCTTTTCAAGCATTGTTTCCTTAACTTTTTCGATGTTAACCATTCCATTGGGAATTCAAAATTTCAAACTGCTTGAGATTTTCCCAATCTTGTGGTTAAATTTTCGTGGTTAATTCGAAAAAGTTCGGCCAAAAGATTTCTTCTCTAGCATAGTACGATTCATGCCTGCAATAAAGTATCGCAACCGAGACGCTTCAACTTTTGACTGACATAATCTAGTATCTAAATCTCCTCCTCATTGCAACTTTGATAAGTTACGGCCTCTACAATTTTTCAGCTCACCGCGCGTGAGCGAAGGGGACACTGTCTAGTTAGGACGCTTGCAAAGAGCTAGCAGTTCAATGGACCGTTCAAGTTCCACCCCGCGCCATTTAAAATTTCGGATTGTTTTGTTCTATCTTCAATAATAAAAATATAACTCGCCGTTCTTTATTTTTTTAAATTCTATCCTTAAACTTCCTTTCCTTAGCTTGAATTGAAACGTCCTAAGAGTGGTATGTTTCATAATCAAACTGAGCGGCCACTCCCACCGTTGGATGAAGATGATATACCATACAGCAACTATAATCCACGTATTTTACAACAAAAGTTTGACGAACAAAATCTAGATAGAGTTGACTTGATACAAGGACGTGACCCGAACGATTTATGGACATGGAATATTGGTTTACAGCAACATGAAAGTCAATTGGATCGCGCTTTTCTCGATGCTTCAGTGCCGAAGTTCGGTAAGTAAATGTCATCACGATATAAACACCAGAGAATGAGTTCAACTCAGTATAGCTATAAATAAAAATCGTAGATTGCAGACGTCTAGAGCTGACCACATTTAAAATACCCAATGACTTGGACAAGACTTTCACCGCTGAAATCGTTTTTGGAACCTTAGCAATACAACCAGATGACAAGCCGAAACCAAAATTTAGGTAAGTGAATATTTTTTAGTTGGTGTTTACCAACATTTCGTAGAACTAGAGAGCTTTGTGCGTGGTAACTATACGTTTTATAGTGCACTCTATTTGTTATAAATATATTTTACTCATCTCCATCAGTTACTTCAATCGTCCGAAAGAGATCGCTTGTATGTTTGCCGCTTATGTTGAAAGTTTTCGTTTCAATCCTGACTTTTGGACGTCCGAGACTTTGGATGGCATATTGACGACTGGGGAGAAACTTTTAAAGAAGAGCACTAATCTCAATTATAAATCTGAAGATAATGATTTCGACATAATACCACAAATTGTGGAGAAACAAGCGGAAATTGGTTTTAAGCTCCACTTCACTGGGCCAATCGACTCCGAGCCGAACATATACAAAGTACTTTCATTGTATTTCTTGAAATATAATGCCGCTGTGTTAGTCGCTAAGGGTATATACATGTTGATATGGAAACGTTGCACCAACACATTCTACATTTTCGATCCCTATGGACGCGATGAATTGTGTCAGCGTGACTTCAGCAATGGCAGTTGCTCACTAATGTCCGTCACTTTCGTGGAACACTTGGTGCATTTGATAATCAGCTTCAGCAAAGCCTATGTTAAAAGTGAGATGAGTTTATATGAGATTTCCATAAAAAATTTCGGTAAAATAAGCAGCCCCATAGCCGGTAAACCGTTTCCGAAGCGCACACATCGTCTTTGGGCGGTGGTGAATGGTACATATGCGATCATACCGGCGGCTAATAATGGTATCCAACAGCCGATAACGGGTAACGAACAGAATGGCTCAATAGTCATTTCCCTCTTGGCGCTATTATATTCCAATATTGAGCGCGCGTCGACGTGGCGTATGGAAATCATTGATGAGCTGATCAAATTCGGTCAAGCATTTTATAAGACCTTCTTGAAACGATTGAAACTGAAGAAGAAACAACATATGAATATTGTGGATATACCGGATGTGATTATGCTTGGTGCATTTCGTGCAACAATGAAAAAACATCCCTTTCTTTATACGGGTCATGTGACGAATTGCAAGTCATATCTCGAATCACAATTGACATCGGTTGTGCGCGATCTCTTTGCGAGTAATTACGACGCGGCGCTCTTGCAAATCGATAATTCCGTTATAGCGATATGGCGTGATATGGAGTACTACTATTTGTTTGATCCATTTCGACGTGGCAAAGCTGGACAAGTGTTGGACCCAGAAGATTATCTTACCAAAGGTGTGGCCTGTTTACAAATGCACTCAAATTTCGAATCGTTTTGTAGAATACTCTATCAGAAAGCGCTTAAAATGCGACGCGGTGGTAAATTTTTCGTGCACGGCATTAGCATCGGTTGTATACGTCCGATGTTGTCGGCGGCGAATATGAAAAATAAATATCCACGCTTACAAATTACCTATCCTAAGCTTGCCACTAAAGATCTTGAGAAACGCCAATCTAAGAAGGGCAAAGGCAAGAAGAAGCTTGGACGTGCGTACAGTATCGAAACGATACCGGATGAGGATCGTATACCCGAGTTTGAGGATGCCGACGTTGTTAACACATTATTGGAGGAAATTATATGCGAGATTATTGAAAATATGATTGAACCCACACCGAGTCGCTTGCAATTATACAAACAAGCTGATAAGGTGCTGTTACGTTCCGATAAAGAATATTTACAGGGCTTACGCTATAAGTTATTGCATGGCGAAGATTATGACAATGTCTATGCCGAGTTCCAGAAACAACCTTCACCACCGCCACGTCCACTGAAACTGAAGGAGGAGTTGAAGATACGCACAAACTTCGAGCTGTTGCCCGACGGCTCGTGGGTTGTGATGGGTCAATCGTATATACCGCAAGAGGAGACCGAAGTGAGCAAATTAAATGGTCTGCTCTCAACTTTGGTGGCCACGGCACTGAGTTCGAAGTACAATATCTCCACATGGAATAAAGAGTTGGTCGATTTTGCAGTGGAGTCATCCAATAGCTTTGGCGAAGAGTTCTCCAACTATGAAGCGACTTTGAGTGCATTCCTTTCGAAGAGTATGCCGAAAATAAATATTGGCAAGAATATTTACCTGTTACATTTAGAGCGTGTCATACAAAGTTCCATTACGCGCTCGCTGCGTCAAATGCTGCTCGAGAGTTTTATAACCTATAATCGCTTGATTGTCATATGTCAGATGTTCTCATGTCTAATTGTAAAACGCTATAATTTCCTCTATATGTTTATCGGTTTTCCATGCACACCTGTCGGCTATCGTAAGTTCGGCTCTGGTCCGGGTTGTCTTCTACGTTTCGTTGAATGGGACTCGCTAATAAGACGCATAGAGTTTGGTTGCAACCCGCAAGGTTGTGAGATCACCAATTATGTTGCGGTCGCTATAAGGGTTTTGGACATGACAAATATACCGCCTGAACGCTATAGGCAATGGCCACCAGAAGTTGAGGAGTCCGTCTATGCGGCTGAGAGCGATCGTAAGCAGAAGTTGGATCGTTTGCGTATGGATAAGATACGTTTCCTCGATCGTGAGCTGCGTAAGGAGAATGAACGTATACAGCCCTTCTTGGAGGAGAAGGAGGAGAAGATAGCCGCTCGTGCGCAGAAACGGACCAAAGGAAAAGGTAGGTGTTATGAAAATATGTTAAAAATATGGTGTGACATAATTTCAAATTTTTTACCAAAGTCGATCACTAAGTTTCGTAATCGATTATGAAATCTTCAATTATCAATTTTAATTATCGAAAGAGTTGAAAGTAAAAACATAGAAAAAAAATATATCTATTTATTCAACACCGAGAAATATTAATTATAGTGCAACATAGGGTGGGTTTGGTTGGATCAGGTTAAGTTAAAAGACCGATTCTCTTGGACATGCTAACAAGGATCTTCCGTTCACAGCTTAGAATGTCGGTCCGTTGTTGTATGTTACCTAAAACTTGATAATAAAGACCCTCAAATTGCTACATTGAGCCTACCATAAAATCGCTGAGGCGACAAATATAGATTTCTGCTATCTCTCCTGGTTTGCCGAAAGTATGGATGTTAGATTTCCGCTTCTTACTGTTAAGTCTTATTAAAGATTTATGCTAGAAACTCTGTACATAACTTCTTTATCACAAATCCACTTTATCTGCTACTCGTTACAGAATGCGTTGAAAAGTTACGGAGACATTTGTTTTAGTCAAAATTTGCCTAGTTTGTTTTTTGTTTCCAATATATTCGTTTCGAAATTCTAAACCTTTTTGTTGGACATAATTTCATTGTGCAATCGTCTAATTTATTGTTTTTCTGGGCTTCTGCAAAAAATAGGTAAAAAGAAAGTCAATATGAATCGTTCAGCCGAACCTACCGACTTAGAAGAGGAGTTCGATGAGGATGAAATGGAGGAGATGGAAGATTATGAAGAGGAAGAAGTAGAGTTGAAGCATAAGCCAGGCAAACGCTTACAACGCGAACTCGATACCAGTTTCAAGCCACATAAAATCCTCTACGGCTATCGTATGCGCGAGAAGGACTGTAACTTCAAGATACAGGGTACCACCGCATTGGAAGGACGTTCCGAGGCTTTGGTCGATAAAATCAAGCCTTGCTTCTTTGCCAGCACATTGGCGGTGTTGTACACAATATTGCGTCCGCTCAATCAGTGGTCGGCACAACGTGTGGATCGTGTGATCGAAAGTGGCAAAACGATTGCCAGTCGTGTGACGAATATGACTTCGGCGTTCGAACGATTTATCAAGAATGTCACTGTGGACGATTACAAATTCGATGTCTGGGTTAAGACACACGAACCAGCCGGCATGGCAGGCGCTAATGTATCACGTAAGATTGCCAAATCGATGCAAACACGCAAGTATATGTTGCTTCAAGTATCAAATACGACATTCGCCATTTTCCACGATGAGTATTATCACCTTTTCGATCCCTATCCATCTATGGAGAAATCGCAAGGCGGCGAAGAAGAGGAAGAAGAAGACGATGATGGCGATTATGTTGAAAAGCAGGGACCACGCAAGGGTAAATGTAAGAAAGGTGTGAAGCGTTATGGTGAACGTAACACTGCTTCGTGGGTACTCTTCGCCGATATCGAGTCACTACTAAAATATGTCGATAAACGTGCTGCGAATGCTTCATGGCAAATGGCCGGTGAGTATGCACTACATGTGATTGATGTGATATCGTACAGAAAAGCGGGACCCATGACGCGCATATTGCAATTGCTCACCGATTTGTCGGTGCCGATCGAATGCAAGACGACGCAGCATGGCGAAGACGAGGCAGTTATGTGTGCACACCCCGAGACTATGGCTTGGTTGGATTTGGAGAATTGTTTGCCGGTATGGAGTCGCATGAATCGTCGCAATACTGCGGGTCGCTATCGCAATTTACCGGTCACCAAGCTCAAGCGCTTCGATATCGAGATCGATGGACGTTTGTGGTCACTGTGGGGTAATTTACATCCCGAAGCGCCAGTATTTGGTAGCGCCTCGCGTGGCAAACAATATCTGGCATGTAATGTTATGGCTTGTTGCGCTGCCAAGGTTTATCGTTTGACAGATTGGAGTCCACACTTGCTCGACACGATTGTGATCAATGGCGATCGTTATCATCGCGAGAGCTTGGAGAACATCAAACTATCGGATTATGAATTCTCACTAGAGGACTTGAATTTGGATTGTACTCTGGAGAATATCAAATTTGTGGTACATTTGGAGCATGTTGCTTTCGGCAAACTCTACAATCCGGGCACACGCACCACAATGAACTTGGCCGACGCACTAATGTATTTCTTCACTCACTTCCAATTCGGTGTGTTGCAGTGCTACAAACACTCTTTGGCCATTGGTCGCACTATGGGCTTTGATGGCGGTTTCTTTATGTTCGATTGTCAGAGCAAAGATCATCCGCTGTTCCCGAAAGGACAAGGCGCTTCGTATCTCTTGCGTACGAAACACTTGCAGGTTCTGCTCTACTGTATTGTAGTGACCCTTAATGTGCCCTACTACAATGTAAGCTTCACTTTGCACGAAGTGGAAATGCTGCGTGAGGGTGCCTCGCTGGAGGAAGAGGGAGAGGAGGAGCAGGTTGAAAATAATTAAATTGGCAAATGAACGCATTTTCAAATTATGAAAAATTTACTAAGTGTTTTGGCTATCAAATTATCGTAATTATGTGAACTATAAATAAATAAATAGATTTGGTAACACAATAGAATCTAATGTTTAATATTTGTAAGATGCTATTTTTAAACTGGATATCTGTAAATTTTTAATTATCTTAAAATGTAGATTTTCATTAGGATAAATATTTACTTAGAAGCTCAAAAAAGGTCCATCATCATTTTTTCTTTATTGGCGCAGATGCCACTTACGCCGTTATAGCCGAGTTTACAACAGGTTGCCAGTCGTTCTTCCTTTTCGCTGCTTGACGCTAATTGGAGATTCCAAGTAGCTAGATCTTTCTCCACCGGGTCGTTCCTCTAGCGGGTCGATTACTTTTAGAGCTGGAGTGTCTTCATCTATACGGAAGACATGAACTAGTCAGCGCAGCCGCTGTCTCTGAATTCGCTGAACCATGTCAATATCTCGTCCAGCTCATCGTTCCATTGAATGTAGTTTTCGCCGTGGAAAATGCGCAAAGGACCATAAATCTTCCACAGAACCTTGCTCTCGAAAACTCGTAATGTCGACTCATCAGGCGTTGTCATAGTCCATGCCGCAGCATCATATAGCAGGACCGATATGACGAGTAACTTATAGACTTTGCTCTTTGTTCGTCGAGAGAGGACTTCTCAATAAACACTCATGTAAAAGTTTGTACCTGTTCGATTAAGCTTTGTAGATCGAATTATTTTCTCCGAAAGTAGATTGAAGAAGTCGCAAGTCGCATTGTCTGAAACCTCGTTTGGTATCGAACTGATCGGAGTGGAGTGACGCCAGTTTACGCAGCCGTATTAGTTTTGCGGGCGGATATCATCATTTCAGAAAGTATAATAAGAGTGTATGGTAAGGTTTTCATGGTAAAGAAATGACGTTTTTGTACTTTATTCAGCACACTTTTAATAACATAGGGTAATTATCAGCAATATCCAGTGGAGTAAATGTGATGCGAAACCGATCAATGGTTGCTCGAATTATGTCGACTGAATATTGGACGTACGATGTGTTGTGTGAACCGAGTACTTATTTTGGTAATAAATTTGCATGATTTCCGAAAAGTATTTGGAATAGTAGAATAAGCAGTATTCCATTAACTGCGACTTTTAACATTATGTGATATTTCCGAAGGCAGATAAACCCCTTTTCTTTGAAGGGATCTCAAGAAATTATGGTCACAGATCCTCAAGAGTGTACAGTCTAAAACATAGTCTAAAAAAAAATCTCCGACAGTTATGCATTTTAATTGCACTTTATTCGAAAACTAAACTAAAACAACGAAAACAATAAAAACATATAACAAATAAGTAACGAATGTTACAGAGGCACAACAACTTTACACTCAGTGTCTCACACGAAAGCTGCGTGCATCGTCATTACCGTTGCTGAATACATTACTATTGCCGCCATCGCGATAATGATAACCATCATTGGCTAAGTAATGTGCGGGTGTGGGCTCAGCCACCGTTTGTAGAGTGGGTTCTGCGCTGTTTATCGATTGAAACTGAGCGAAAGATACCGGCGCGTCGGGTACGCCATTGTACTGCGTCATCAACTGCTGATGTTGACGCACAAAATCAACAGGTGCCAAGGGTTCCGACTGTGATGGCGCGCCGTACTGCTGATAGTTGATTGACTGCGCGTCCACGGACTGTGGCGGTAAATAGTAGTTAGCGGGCTCCTGCTCCCCCTCAGCTGACGGTGGTGGCATCGGTTGTTGTGCCGACTGATCATCGAACATTTTGGCGACTTCCTGCGCGGCTTCGGCAACGTTTTCAGCTTCGCCGAAGGGATTGAGATATTCACGCGCCGGCTGCATTGGTGGCGCCACCGGCATTGGCGGTGCGGCTGACTCGCGTTGCATTTGCATTGCGGGGGGCAAGTAGTGGATGGCTGGTGGTTGTGTTGCTTGTGGTGCCATCTTTTTCTGTTGCTCCATCAGTTGCAGCATTGTCATGGCATGACTGTCGCCGGATTGTGGCGCTAAATATTGATTGACGGGCATTTCGTGCATCTGCTGCTGCGGTGGCAAGTACTGTGGTGCTGGCGCTGATTGCTGCTGCAAACGTTGTTCGTTGCTGGCTGACATTGTGGTTGCTGGCGCCAAGTATTGTCTGCTTGGTGCACTTGGTGCTGGCATTTCATGCATTTGGTCTCGCATTTGCATCAGCATTGGTGTTAGATATTGGCGCGATGGTGCAGCTGGTGTGGGTTGTTGCTGCTGTTCTTGCGTTTGTTGCTGTTGCTGAGCTTGTTGCTGTGGCTGTGGTTGTGATTGCTGCTGCTGTTCTTGCGGTTGTTGCTGTTTAGGTTGTTGCTCTGTTTGCTCTTGCTTTTGATCTTGCACCATTGGCGCCAAATACTGTCTGCTGGGCATACTTGTCGCGCTCACTTGCCTTTGTTGTTGCATTTCCATCATTGCTGGTGCCAAGTACTGCTTGGGTGGCATATCACCATGATGTCTCACCTGTCCCTCGCTCATTTCGCCCATCACAGGTGCCAAGTACTGCTTTGAAGGCATGTCACTATGCTGTCTCATCTCTCCCTCACTTATTTCGCTCATTACAGGCGCCAAATACTGTTTACTAGGTGCAACAGTTGCCACCTGTTCTTGTTTCATTGGTGCGGTTGCTGTTGGTGCCGGTGGTGGTGGAGGTGGCAACAATTCTCTAGGCATCATCATCGCTAACGGTTTCTCGACACCATGTTCAGCTGCGCGCATGTCACTTAGTCCATGCTGGTTTTCCGTGTTGCCACCGATGCCATAAGGCATCTGTCCCGGACGCAGATATTCCGTTTGTGTCGGCAATTCGCGCAATTCCTGCTTCTCAATCGTGGTCACAGTGTGCTCCCCGCGATGAGTGAAGCGCATACCGTTACTGGGGCTCATGTGCGCTGCGCTGCCGCCCACAACAGGTGGCATCATCATTCTTGGCGGTATGTAGTGTTTGGCCAAGTGTGAGACATCTGCGCTGACAGCGCCTAAAGTCGCACATGCGACAAGCGTCAAAGTGAGAAAACGCTGTTAGGAATTCCAAATGTGCGATTGTAAATTAGAAACGGTATTTTCTTAATAACGGTACATATTTGTGTGTCAATTGAAATACTAACCATTTTTGCGCTATTTCTTGGTATTATTGCCTCTGCGCTGATTTTTTTGGTGCAAAGTGCTCCGATGGGTTTGTGCGTGTGGCTATGAGTGCGTGAGTGCGTGCGTGTTTGTGTGCGTTTGTTGCGGTGCTGTTTTGGCGAAGCGCGCTGCTAAATTGCCGATTCGATTGTGATTGCAATTCACTAACGAGCACTTGCTTTTTATATTCACGCGTTGAAAACAAGTAGACCTTGAGTCGTTACACATTAATATTTGAAATATTACGAAGAAGCGTAGACGCATGCGTATACAGCGAGATTGAGTGGGTCTCATGACGGATTTTTTATAATTTTTCCTTTTTAATTTTTTGCCATTTATTAGAGTTCAGTGTACTCTGTTGGTTGCACACTTGGTTTGGTTTTAAGATGATCTCTTCTCGTTATTGCTTGATGAACACTTTCGGAAGTATTTGAACAGTACGTACGAACATTCATGAAGATAAATTTTTGCAGAACCGTAAATATAAATTATACATACATACATATACCGCAATATATATGTACATAATTGGGTATAACAATGCGAAGATGCTGGCTTAAAACCAGAAGTTGGCTATATTCACTCGACTATGTACAAAAAGGCATACAAATATTTATTAAGGTTAGTAGGTTTGTGTCCAAAGTGGGTTTATATATAACAATACATATCAAATTAACTCAATAGAAACTGTTACATTTATTTTAAACTGCCTTGGACAACATAATGGTGATAAAAAGTAGCAATATTTTTGAATAATTGTAGAAAAAATTGAGCAAGTTTTAAGTTCGGGTGCAAACTGATATTATGGATATTATATAATCACGAAATTTGCAAGAATTAAAGGCCAGGAAGTATTTTCAGAAATATATTAAACGGTTATATATAGTATAGTTAACAGGCCGAAAAATCGAATTTTCCAGAATTTTTCTGAGAAGACTTTTAAATTTATTGATCCAAAAATTTGTACACATATTATGCTATCTTTTAGTTGTATTTAAATACTTAGTATTAGTAAAAATATTTATTTGAAAAGGAACTACAACTGATCTTCGGGAGCTCCTCTCAAAAAAGACGTATTGCGGTGACACCTATATCTCTGAACTTTATCCTCTGAAATTAAAAACCCAACAGATTTCCATAAAGTAATATTAACTCTAGTAATTAATTTGAGGAATAAGCAAAATAAAATTTTTCGACAAAATGACGGTCAAATTTCGGCCTAAAATATTATAGATCCTCTACAATCGCTCTGATGTCAACACGACGATTTTCAAGCACTATTTCTCTAACTTTTTCGATACTGCTCAAAATACGTCGTAAACAAACGGTTGCCAAACACACTCCAATTGACATATGAAGATTAAAACTTAAACAAATTGTGGTAGCCAGGATTATAAACGATTGTAGAAGAATTAAATTAAGATCAGATGTTAATCTTGCCAATCGACTAGCCAAAAACGTGAAATTATCTGCTCATCGAAGTGTTCTATAAATAAATCTATTGATTGATGCGATGTGTGCAAAGTGACGCCGTTTTGTTGAAACCAAATATCACAAAGATCATGAGTTTCAATTTCAATGGTCCTCATCGCTGAACAAAATTTGGTGAAAACGTCGCATCTCCTTGTAACCTTTCGCTTGGGAAAGTCAAGCGACTTCAGTTCTTGCATAAACTGTATTTTATAAGTTTTCAATTTAATAAATGCGCCAAATCGTTCCATATGTCAGTCAAGTTGCTGCCACGGGCTCTATCAACTCTCCTCATTTTCAGCTACGGCTGCTAAATTTTTGTTTACAGTGTGCTGGACGTATTCTATTCGGTCGAATATTGTCAATAATGAATGCTGTGTCTCAAGATGAGTGATGGGGCTTCGAATAGTACGCTCAGTACTATTATGTTGACCATAAGTTGAGCGAAGCGCACGAAGAACATTCTTTACAGAATGGGAATTTTCGTAAGAAAGTTAAACGATTTGCAAAGATTTTTCAGGCGTAAGTCCTTCCATGATGAAATGACGAAAAATACTGAATAAAAATAACATGACAGCTTGGCACGACTGTCGTCTCATCTGTTAAAAAAGGCTATTGAAAAAGTAATCTACATGAATCGCCTGTTGATATGTTTAAATATCTTCTTCTTAATTGGCGTAGACACCGCTTACGCGATTATAGCCGAGTTAACAACAGCCGATGTTTAAATATACCCTTAAATTTTTTATATTGTAAATTTTTTTGTTTATAAATCACAAAAATTCGAAAAATCCAAGTTTTTTTGGTGGCTAAGATTAATTATTCTTGCGGTTTGATTGCATGCTTCGTTTGGTTTCTTTATATAAGAGATCCATCGCATATCTTGGACGGCGGTGATGTCAGCCTTTATTTTCACGAGGGCAGCGGCACCTTCCACATTAAGAGACCGAACATTCCAGGTGCGTGCCCTCAAATGATAGTCCTTAATTCATTTGCCATGGCCGTCATCAAAAGGCAGGGTCTCTCATCCGAGGCTGTTGAAAATTTTTCATTGGGGGTGTTTTTTTTACGTGGCGGGTCCCAAACCCAGCGCACAACCCTATATAGGGGATATTTCGCCTTCTCACTTTAGCTCGCTTTCAAACGGATATTCTTAGGCTACCCAGAAGATACTTGGTCAAGGACCGGAAGTTGTGAGCTGCTTGAGTCGTATGTAAAAAAATCGTTTCTGGCCACTCCCAAGTGAATGGCGATCAGAGAACTTTCCTCACTTGCGTGAACTTCTACACATGACTCCATTTTCCCAATAGCCTCTATTCATTAATAAATAATTTTCTTATCTTGGGTTCGTTTCAATAAAATTCGAAACTTCAGCAAGCCAATTACTTTTTCTTTTCTTCAATTCTCATGCATGCTTAATATATTTGAGTATGCCTATAAAATTATACAGGGGCGTATGAGTAATTTTTCTGCCAAAGGCGTATGGTATATTGTATTCATCTGGGATTTCTTTAGTTTGAAATGCCAAAGGGTACTGCCAATAATCTAAAAAGTTATCCAGCAGACATAAGTATAAATGTGATGAGAGGAAAATTTAATATGATCTGGAGGTTTTTTATAATACATAAGTCAGGTAAGGAACTTTGCTAAATAACATAAAGGCGATATTGGTCGATACAGGAAACGAACTAAAATAAAATATATTTTAATATAAATGTTTCATTTAAATATAACACAAAAAAGATATTACTCATAAAATATGTTTGTGGAGACATCGAAAAACTTTAAGTTCATGCCACCTGAGCATTCAGTAAAATCTTTGCATAAGTAAATCTGGGCTCAGAGTGATTAGCTTTTCGCATTTAGTGAAAGCATTAATTCGAACATATGATATTCGTAAATACAAATATTTACGAGTATGTTAGTCACGAATTTGCATATGTACCCAAAAAAGCAAAACACAGTCGACAAAACAATAAATCGGCAACAGCAAAATCTTTGCCTCCAGCTAGATGAGTTTAATCAAGTGATTGCCTAAATTTGCACACATAAGCGTCTCGTCTGATTTGCGAACTGATAAGCCATTGAAACAAATGGATTTGTCTCCCATATTAATCACACGCAACAGCTTCAGGGATCAGCTGTTGTTCACTTGTTTAGATACGATCGTTGAACGAAACAAAGCAGCCTGCATTGCTAATGATAACATATGAGCGTGTGTGTGTGTATTTTAATGTGTTGGTGTTTAGTAACGCTGACTCATTACTTTAATGCCAATAAATGAAATATCAATGAAAACGATTAATTTGTCATGGCTTTCGGAGCAACGAGTGGTAATGCCTAATTGAAGGTATGCACGCAAGCGCGTCTGATGCCGCTGAAACGTGATGCTACTAAAGCGAAATGTGGCGTTGGCGGCGTGCGCAAATTCATACATATAAATATGTATACATATTTATGTGTTGGTCAAAGCACAAGACCGTCGCGCATTCGTGCGCGCCGCCAAAAACCTGAGTAGTGGCTAAGGTCTTCAGTGAATCTCTTTACGGTACTTATTTGCCGCACTTTCTGACGGTTTCAAGTGATTACCGTTAATTTGTTGGTAATTGAAAGGGTTTACAGAGTAATTTGCCATTTTGCACAATTTGCTATGTGCTCGCATTTGGCGAATGTGAATTTATTTTTAGTTAACGAAACAAAAAAAAAAAAAAAAAAAAAAAAAATAACAGCACACAACAACAACAAGAGACACATTTTCAATAGTTTTGACTTTGATTGCGGCAATAAAACGAACAATAAAGCTTAAATCATCTCACCTTAACGAAATAGCATTGTGGTTCAAGGTCACAATTGGATACTTAAGAATCGATATTATTTTCCATTATTGTGCACATAAATGGTTTTTTTCTTTGTCTACTTGCGTGGTATGTATTGGAACAATAACGTGTGAAACTTTTATTACACGAATGTTTATACAAATGATTTTGCATTCATAACTTTTGGTTAACAGTTTTTTTTCGCATAAATTTTTCACTTAAAATTGTTATAAATTCAGAAGTGCTTGCCAGTGTCGTGTGATTTTGGTGGCCAACATTCGTTTTTAAATGAGTTGAAACTCTGTGGGACAATTCCTCTCAGCAGTGTGAGGCAACTCTCAAAAATTTTTAAGGCGCACACCTACTTTGAAACTAGTAAATAAACTCGTTTTTTTCTCAATATGTTAGGTTATGCCTTTAAAAATAATTTCCTCTTCTTTAATAGTGTAGACATCGGTTACGCGACTCGACTCTCCACGGTCTTCGTGCACACTCTCAGCTAAGGCTCCCATATTTTTTCTACTCTGTGCTGCACGACGTTTATACGGTTGAATATTATCCCATATTGAATGCTGTGTCTCAAGTTGGGTGATGGTGTTTCGAATAGTATGCTCAGTAGGCGGATTATGTTGACCATAAGTTGAACGAAGTGCGCGAAACACGTACTTTACCGAACGCGAGTTTTCGTTATAATCTTCCCACGATGTAATGCCAAACAGTACTGAACAAAAATAACGTGACAAAAAAGTACCTATACTTGTATCAACCGTTAGCATGTGTATTTCAAAAATGGTTTGATTCAAGTCAATGTTTAACTAAGCCCCCATATACATATAATATACTATAAAGA